AATTGTTTTAAGCACGAATCCAGGCAAAATTGACACAAAAAAAGTTAACATGCGCACCTTTTAAGTTTACGGATCTTATAGAGTATCTTATATAAATGGATTTGATAAGAGATTTATAAAATAGTTTGTTTTAGTTATAAGCAGATAATTTTAAAAAGCGTTTTAAAAAAGTCTCTCCCTTTGGTTTGTTATAGTATATAATATCCTTATATATATGTAATGCATATACTATCTATAGACCTTTAAAAATAACTTTCTTTGTTTTCTAGAAAATGGAAAAAAGTTTAAAAAAAAATTGAGTTAGCAAAAAGATTTGAACCCAGGCGAAGCACTACCCAGCAAACATGTCCAATTAGGGCCCATATGGGTTTGCCCAAGTGGGCCCGATGTAGGCTTTATATATGGGCCCCAAATGGGCCCATGTGGGCAAGCCCTTGAATACAAAATTTTGTATTTAAGGGCTAGCCGACATGGGGCCAGTTTTGGGGCTATATATGTATTTAAAAAAATTAAAATTTTGTATTCATAGGCTAGCGCACAAGAAATCCACTTAGAGCCTATATATGAAGTTAAAAAAGGATCAAATTTCATCTTAGTTTCTAAATTTAAATGCCATCCGTTCGTACGCGCGATGGTATGAGGTACTTCGCAAGGCAATTAACAGGAGGAGTATAAATCACAATACCAAACTTACTTTATGAAAACCCGTTAACTTTTCTCAAATGTAATAACATATAACAATATATATATATATATATATATATATATATATATATATATATATATATATATATATATATATATATATATATATATATATATATATATATATATATATATATATATATATATATATATATATATATATATATGTATATATATATATATATACATATATATATATTAGTAGATACGACCATCATGCTAAACTTATTTTATATATATATATATATATATATATATATATATATATATATATATATATATATATATATATATATATATATATATATATATATTTATATATATATATATATAAAAGGCATACATTATTTGGCTTGAGCCAATTATGTGTATAGTAACATATTGCAACTTCTAATATCGTGTGCAATCCTATCCGCTTTCTCTATGGTATCTTTCTAACTCGACTACTTCTGTTTTTCACTCTAACATATCTTCGTTCTTCCCAAATTCACTTACTCTTCGTCCGTAGAGTGGGTTATGACGCTCCTTGGGGAGCCAAACTTGTTTTTGCGGGCCTTTGTATAGTGGCCTCTGACGGCAACTAGCCAGAGGAGGATAAGCCACAATACCTAAAAAAAATTTATATTCACTTATTTATATAAGACTATTTTTTTCACTATTATACCATTTAAATACTGTTGTATATTTATAAATGTTTATTACTGATTACTTTATTCTTTCTATCTTTGACTTTCTGTTTTACTTCTATAAAGCTAGACTCACGTGACATATTTATGACTACATATTAAACTATATGTATCTAATTTAAAAATAAATAAATAACTATTCAAAATATTATAAAAAATTTAAATAAATTAAAATGTGGGACCCATGTGGTTCCCACATATGCAGCCCACATGGGAAGCCTGCTTGGGCCCCAATTCACGCCCAGCAACATTTTTCCTTGGGCGGGATGTGGGCAACCCATTTGGACCCCATAAAGCTGCCAACTTGTGCCCCATGTGGTGCTCAATATGACTTGCTGGCTGGATTCAACCACTTTGGCATGCTGTATCATCTTTTAACACTGTTTAATAAACAGAAGACTTGTTAAACTTATTTAACGGCATATATATGCTTTAAAATAAATAGATATTGCCGCAATAAAATTTTAAGTAAAAGTATTTTAAAATTTATTGGATTGGTCATATTTTTTAATATCAAAGATATCAAATTTTAAAGAAAAATTGAAAACAATATCTACCTGAATTATATGTGATCTTCCTATTTATTAAGATTACAAATAAAATTATCCTGATTAGTTTATAGATTATTCAAAACCCTAATTAATTGCCTATTAATCACCCTAAATAACAACAGTCGCCATAAATATATTCTTAGCATTCTCTTTAACGACTTATCTAATTGTCTATTTTATGTGACTACACCACATACACCACATGTATTAAATGTAAAACAAACTATATAAGTAGTTTTATTTACAAATAAGAGTAAACTACAACAGCATCATTAAATATCAATTGGTAGATTACAAAAATATTAAATATATACATAGCGTATTTTCCCACCGCTCCCTCTTTTCATTTTTATTTTTTACAGGATCCAAACTCCTTATTCAAAAAAGAAAAAAAAATCTAATCATGTTCTTAATAAAAACATTTTATTTAAGCCTCTGACTGTGTAAAAAAAAGTGTAAGTTGCCGCGTGGCAAGCTTGCTTTTTTGAAAAAAATATTTTTTTAATTTTTAAAATGCTAAACAAAACAATTTCATTTTTCTTTTTTAAATTATATTAGCTTGTATTTTAAAAAAATCGATAAAAAAAGGGTTCCGACGACAGGACTCAAACCCAGATCTCCACTCCGTATGAATAAAAAAAATTTAACATCGTTTTAAATTGATGATAGCCGCTAACTACTGTATCTAAATTTACGCTAATTGTACAGATTCATGTAATCATCACTTAAAGTTAATTCAAAAAATGAAAACAAACTTTAACTTCATTGCTTACATCTAAGAAATCTTTAAGTATGCTCATATTACCAAGGTGATCATAATACCCTAAACTACCCTACAAGAAAACAATGTCGAAAGTGTTTGACCACAAAGTTTTACAACCAAGATTCAATAACTCTATCAATTAAAAAGTGTAAAAAGAAAAAGTAAAAGAAGAAAAAGAAAAAGTGTAAAAAGAAAAAGTAAAAGAAGAAAAAGTATTTTTTTTAAAACTATGGGCATGAACGTTTGGGTGGAGTGAAAATAACATTTTTCAGAAAAACAACTTTTCTCCCTAATTTTTATATTTACTGTAAGAAAACTAAAAAAATGGATCATTTGTTTTAGATCCTAACATTCTATTTACTGAAATATATTTAGCAAAGTTTTAGTATATTATGTATTATTATAGTATAAATAAACATAGCAATGTATCAAACTCTGTATAGAAACATAAAATATTAAGGCAGACCATATTCGAAAATAATAATATTCTTAATAAATATATTATACATTATCACAAATTTATTGTTCAATAATAAATAATATTATTATTTACAAACAAAATATTCTTACTAACATTTAAAAATATGGTTCGTATTGAAACTTCGAGTAGAGCTAAATTAGAGTAGTATTTTATTAAATTTTATTCCTAATATTCAATTTTTTCAATTGAAAAATCTTTTTTTTTTTTAATGTGTTTCAAAAAAATTCAACATTTTTTTTAATAAAAAAGTGATTATTTGATAATACAAATACATAATGCAAATGGATAATTCAAACATACCTAATATATTTTCACTTTGTAACTACTACTTTATAAACTTTAAAAAAATAATTTTTAATGGAAATATTGCGCTACCAATAATAAGCAGTATTAGTCAAAAATTGCTGCAGGGGTAATCTTGTCCAATATTGAACATTTTGGTCTTGTTTTTTTATTTTTTTCCTATAGGTGTTATAAAAATCAGGGAGAAAAGTTGTTTTTTTGAAAAATCTTGTTTTCATTAATCCTAATGAACATACTTTTACCGGAAATAAACTTCTAATAAATTACTGAGAAAAACTCACTCATTAGAATAATACAAGCACCCCAACCACCACACACACCCAAATTAGGCCTAATATTAATAAGGTTTAGTTTTAAATCTTATCGTTTTACTGAGACAGGACTTAACGGGTTTTTTTTTTTAATTTCTGTGTTCTTAATTTTATTATATTTTATGGATGTACTTAATTAAATTTTTTTTTTAGAATATATTGTAAAAAGATAAACAATAAATTTAAAATGCTAAACAAAAATAAAAGCAAAATAAAAAAAACAAAAAAAAAAAAAAAACACTTTATTTTAAATTTAAAAAAGATTCCGAAAATTTAATTCTTATTAAAAATTTGTGAACAAATTCATTTGCTAATTAATTCTGCAAATGTTTCTGTTGTTATATAGATAAACGTGGCGCTAAACTAATTAGTGCAGACGAGGCGCAGTAGTAGAGCACTTGCCTCAGAATTAAAGGATCCGTGGTTCAAACCATAACCATGTGCAAGTTTCTGGACTTCTAGGAAGGAGGCGCAAGCCTACTGTTAAATGCTTATCCATGGTGGTTTGTAACTTTAAAAACATCTTGGATCTGTTAAGACTTCTAAGACCCTAAAGACTTCTTAGGGCACTTAAAAAAAAAAATTAAATGCTCATCCGTGCCATTCTGTGATAAAACCGTAAGGACTTCATAGGGCACCTAAATAAAAATAAAAAATAAAAAAGATTAAAACAAATAATTTTATTTCATTGACTACGGAAAAACTGGGGCAATGGAATATTAACAGATGAATTTTATGGTGATTTTGTATCTAGAGAAAAAAATTTTTAATCAAGCTAAGGCAGATAACACAAATTTGCATTCGGAAAAAATAAAGCAGGAAGAAAATATAAACAAAAAATTGCTATTTTATTTATTTCTAAGCTTTTTTAGTTTAACTTTAAAATGATACTTTTTCAGCGCGAGTCAAACAAAAATTAAATAAAATTATTTACCAAGTTTTTTTATTATTTTTGCAAACTAATTTGATTATGATTTTTAAAGCATAGAGACTCAATTTGACTTGATTCCCATAGCCCGTTATACAAATCCGCTTAGGCTAAAATATATTTTTATTTTATGCTATTTTTGATAATTTTATTATTTTAAATATATTAATTTTAAATATATATAATAATAGCATAAATCCTCTTATGCTAAAATACATATAACTCTTTTGATAACATTTTCCTTAATTTTAATATTACTTTACTTAATAAAGGTGGTGAATGGTCTGCATGGAGTACTTGCTCTGCAACCTGCCAGTCTAGTCCTTTGGTAACACCGTTTCAAACAAGAAGTTGCGATTATGGTTCATGTCTTGGACAAAGTTCTCAAATATGCAATTTTAGAACTCCTTGCCCAGGTAGCGTTTTCTCTTTTTATAATTATTGTTTACGATAAAATGGACTAGTACTTTATTAGGTTTTTGAGTATTTTTAGCAAAATGCTTTTTTTTTTCAATTTATTTCTTCTGATATAATATTATATCTCTTTTTCATAGAATTTCTTTAAAAGATTTTTTTAAAATCTTTTTACTTTTTTTTCTTTTCAAAATGATTTTGATATAATTCTTTTGTTGGTAGTGACTTTTTTAATCTAATATTTTTTTTATAGCTTACTAATTTAAAATTTCTCCCAAGTGTCATAGATTTTTTCGGATTTTTTTCGGATTTTTACTAAATTAGCTCTTATTATACCAACAGTTCTATAATATTTCACTGTTAAATATAAAGCAACATATTGGGTTATCGAATACATTCACAGAACCGTTAAAAAAACAAAATCAATTTTTAGATATGCTAAACTTAGCAATTTAATAATGCTTTATTATTATTTATATCATCTTTCTAGAACCTAGATTATCAAAAATAACAGATATTAAATAATACTAAATTAAAAATAATATTTTTTAGTTGTTTACTTACATTTAAAAATGAAAAAAGATACTAAACAAAAACATAAAAAAAATAAAAAAATTTTATTTTGCAAAGTTAGACATATATTTAAGAGCCATTTATAAATGAAAAATAACTTAAAAACTGGTGTCAAAACTAGACTAGTAGTTAATTAGTATTATGAAGTATATTTAAAACTGCAGATAACTAGTAATAAAAAAAAATGTTTCAAATACTTGGTGATAATATTCTTAAAATAAGTCCTCTAAGATCTGATACCTGCTGATGACATATCTGTTACACACATTTAATGGATTCTATTAACTTTTTTTGCATTTTCAAACTTGGGCTTTTTTTGCATTTTTAAACTTTAGCTAATAATTTTTACTTGTTTAGAAAGGTATAGCAAAGAAATCTTTTGAAACTGGATAATAACACAGATTTTAGAATTCTCTATTTCTCGATAAGAATCTTTTTTTTAAAACTTTGGATCTTGCTTAAACCCTAACAATATGTGTGCAACCTAAATTAAGGTTGTACTTTTTTTTTTTGGTTAAACTAGAACAAGCCAACTCCCTGTAATTAAGCAGTTGAAATCTGGTTCTATTTGATTAGTTTCATATAAATTAACATTATTGTGTCATCACTTTAATTGAGAGAACCACTACTACTAACTTCATTGTCTTCTGATGCAGACAATAGTTTTTGCCTTCAATTAGTTTGTTTATGGATATTTTCTATTTTGATTATCGTTCAACATCAATATTATCTACTGTGATAAAATTGCCTGTTGCAACCTTCCCCCCCCCTCCCTCTTTTTATCATCGTTTTTTTTTTGCTACTTTACTCGCTGTCTCACCGAAATGAGCTTAAATGACATACAAGACCCTTTTTAATACTTGCTCTCGACTAAGCGGATATATATCTAAAGCTATAAATCAGACAAACAAGTTTTCTTCTTTCGAATTAATGCAACTTTATCAAGGGCAATAAATTTTGGGTTTAAGAAAAAAATTCCTATATCCATTGACAAGTTTGTTTGATCAAGTTGATTGTTAGGAGAGGGTACAATTGGCAGTCTAGCTCTTTTTAATTTTTGCCCTTGTTTTCACAAATTTCGGTTTTGATAGGATGGTTTATTGCAACTCTGACTGAAATTGTGTTGGATACAGTTGAGGCGATCAAACTTCGACATTCCTCAAAAGAATATCCTTCATACAAATCTTGAACAAATTGAAACCATATGATTCACAGGCTGATATTTTTCACAATCATTAGCTATTTCTCCCTGGTAATTAAAAGAGCAATGACCTGAAATTTATAATTTGATGTTAAGTTTACAGTATTAATATTAATACTTTTTTGCATGTTGGCGTTAAACCCAAGACTTAGATAACAATTACTAATAACATTCTGCTGCTTGCAGATCTGATATATTGCTAGGCTCACGAGCCATTTTCTCAAGAATACTGCGCTGGGAAACACCTGAAAAGTCAACACTAAATAATTGTAGCATTTTTTCAAGTTCGAATGGGGTGTTATCTGTTAGTACATTAGACAATAACATGCTATCAAATATCTTTGCTTGTAATGTATAAACCCTAATATCACGTGACCTAAATGCAACTGTACGATTGCCTTCCCCAATTCGGATAATATTAATTACTAACATAGCAAGGTAGTTTTATTTTCTCTAATAACAGTATTATATTTGTGCATTTCACTAAAGAAATTATTGCAAAAGGAAAAAAAATACATTATATTTTTTATAGTTTCAAGTCCATTTTTTTCCAATATTTACAAAGATTTTGATATTACTTTTGACTATGTTGAAGTCAAATTATTGAATGATAAAGACTTTTGAAAAATAACTCCGCATTTTTGATAAATAAAAAAGGTATAATTTTGTTCATATTCTTAAAACTTGTTTGAGAAAAAATGTAAAGTTATCAACTGAAAAATATTTAAAAGCTCCATAAACTACTTGTAACTTTGACTTGGGTGTCATTATACCTATAAAAATTTTTGGAAATATTTGAGGATAAACAGTGAGACGAGAAAAAAATTAAAAAAGTTGTGTAAAGTATATCTCTGATCAAAAAGATTCATTGGGGTAAAAAAAACTTCATACCTTTTAAAACAACTGAACTAAAAATAAATAATTTTGTTTTCAATATCAATTAAAATTTTATTATCTGTAAGTAATAAAACAACAAAGTATAAGACTGTTATATATATATATATATATATATATATATATATATATATATATATATATATATATATATATATATATATATATATATATATAAATATATATATATATATATATATATATATATATATATATATATATATATATATATATATATATATATATATATATATATATATATATATAATATATATATATATATATATATATATATATATAAACAGCCGTGGCGCAGTGGTAGCGCACTTGCCTCAGAAATGTGGTTCAAACGTGATTCAAAGATCCGTGGTTCAAACCCCACCTCTGGGCAAGTTTTGCAACATCGGTTAGGAAGGAGGCGTGACCTTCCTATTAAATTCTTTTCCGCGGTGCTCTGTGATAAGACCGTAAGGACTTCTTGGGGCACCTATAGCACCTATATATGTATTTATATAGGCACCTATATACATACATATATGGAAACGATTTGATTATTACGAAAATTGATATAAAGGTTTAACTTACAATTTGTAAGTAAATTATTTTCCTACATAATATTTAAACAAAAAATTAGGCTATTACAGTTTAAAAAAAATGCATATCTATACCAAAAAATTTACAATCATTAATAATAGTTTATCTAATATATATCTAATGTCATTATTCATTGTACTAAACAGACAAATTAAAATACATTGTTAAAAATACAATTTATAAACATCATGATCTTGATTTCATTTTTATTACAAATAAGTAAAATTTTGACATTCTAGTTTTAGTAAACGTGTATAAATAAAATTAAAAATTATCTCTGGACTATTAGTTAAGATCGCCTTAGTTAGGATAAGTTAGGATCGCCTTAACTACCTGACTAGGCTAAGTAATGAGTCTGACATTACAAAACATATAGATTTTGATACAGCAATACGTAATTTTGCGAAGAAAAAACACTTAAGGCAACCTTGCTTTAACAAACTTGTTCTATTTAACAAATATATATATATATATATATATATATATATATATATATATATATATATATATATATATATATATATATATATATATATATATATATATATATATATATATATATATGTATATATATATATATATATATATATATATATATATATATATATATATATATATATATATATATAAATTTGATCAATAGAACAATTTTGTTAAAGCAAGGTTGCCTTGCGTGCCTTTTTCTTTGCAAAATTACGCATTTCTGTATCAAAATCTATATGTTTTGCAATGTCAGACTCAATACTTAGCCTAGTCAGGTCGTTAAGGCAATTCTAACTTTTAGTATTCCAGAGATAATTTTTAATGAGTTTCAGCTAATTGAAGCTATTTTTTGTTGATGCTACTGCTGCTGGTGCTATAAGAAATATCCTAAAACTGACACTGAGGTTAAGAAATATATTTTCTGAATTGCACTCTGTTAAAGCATTTAATATTTTAATGAACCAAAATGTTTTATCCCAACATTGTATTTGTGAATATTTGTTTTATGTTTCAATTCTTGCACAAAGTCTTCATTATTATGTCTTTAGAATATGTTTTCGTAAAATTAGCTGCTTCTTGTATTAAATTCTCCTCTGACGTTTTTTGGAAGTTCCAAAGAAAGCTGAAGGTTTTAGAAATCTGTTTTGCGTCTCTATAAGTAACTGTAAGTTCTCCAATAAAATTATCCAATATTACATAAAAAATTTGCATATAGGAATTGGGATTAGAAGAAAGACTCGGCTGCCTCACTAATTTTACTCATTCCTAAAACACTCTTACTTCTATAACAAAGTTAGATGACCCTACAAGCTTAGCTTTATTCACATTGCTTCCCAATTGTCACGAACAGCTATTAGTAATGAAAGTAACCTTTTTATATTTGAAACTTCCATATCTAAAGTTGCGTTACTGGCTTGATTGACATTGTTGCAAATGTCATCAGGAATTATTATTCTGTGTTTACTACTGACATTATGATACAGGTAAAAGTACTGATATAAAAATTGCTAAACGAATCTCGTTTCTAGCTTTTGATTTAAGATTTAGCTGTTGCAGGTTTTCCAAAACCAATTTTACTCCTGGAAGGCGAGCTATAAATGGTTTTACACTCTCAATTCAATTTGACCAACTGGTGCCACAAATGCCATTAGGGGAACAACCAATATGCTTAGATATTATTTCCTACTTTGTCAGACTACAACTGAATAAAGTGTTTATGTTTGCATAGTTCCGACATCAGGTTATGGCTTCTGGAGTACATTTAGCAAGCAGCCTTTTGCTTTTGCTTGCTCCATACAAGCCAGTCTGAGATACGCTGTTCTGCATTAATGTTTCTAAATTTTAATATACCCTCTCGCAAATTTTTGATCATTACTATCTTTTGCAATTTTAAAGTGAAATCAATATGACCTCTGGCTTTTAAACTATGTATTTCTGATTGAAAATGAATTTCTGCTGTGATGAATTCAATGTCAAGTTTTGTACTTGATTGGTGAAGTAAATTACTACTTAATTCAGATTTTCTGTGGCACCAGGTCCAGAATTTGAATCAATATCTATGGTATTTATATTTTTAAAAATCTCTAAGTTTTTGATTTTAATTTTCACTAATTGCTTTTCATTTTTGCTATGACTATTTGTTCATGAATGCCATTTTTATTTTTTTCCAAATTTACATCAAGATTTGTTTCAAGTTAATATTCCGCATTTGCTTCTAATTCAATTCGTTGCTTTTTCACACCTAATTAAAATAATGTCTCTATAACTTTTCTTTTAATATTTTGTTGTTTATTTCTTTATTTCTTTTCTTTTTTTTGTTCTTTGTCTTTGTCAAAACGTTGTCAAAATTAAAAAATGTATATACATATATACTATTTATGGCCCCTATCTTATGGGTCCTGGTACAACACACCAATTGCACTTTTCTTTTATAAGGCCTGACACTTACTGATAGAAAAGCTTGTCGTTTAAAAATAGAGTGTCAGAATAATAAAGCAGGATTTTTCTAGCTAAGCTTAAATCCTTAAAACATTAGAATAGATTCAAGAAACTTTTATTCGCTTCCATTTTTTAAATCTTGTTACAATGTAAACAGCTATTCTATTTTAATTATATGTTTATTCTTCAGGTACTTTAAGTGATTGGACATACTGGGGAGACTGTTCATCTACTTGTCAAATGGGATCAAATGCTCCAGAGCAAACCAGGACCCGCACTTGTTCAGGTGGTAGCTTTGGCGATAGTTGTAATGGAGCAACCTTAATTGAATCTAAACGCTGTAGTGAAAGAGTTTATTGTCCAGGTTTTGTTTATTTAACTTTAGTTAAGAATAATTTGATTGTTGATTATAAGCAAAAAAGAACAATTATAAAACACATAATAAATAAGCAAGATTTGGTCATTAAAATTATTATACTTTCATTTTGAAAGATTTGTTAGCAGTTGTATGGACACATGAACGTTCATATTACGCCAAAGGACGTTCAAAATAGTCCGTTTGGACTTCCGAAATGAACGTTTTTGGAGGTCCATAACATGTCTAATGAAACAACTTTTGGCCGTCCATTTGTGTCCTCTAAAGTACGTTTAAGGACGTCCAAACAGGTCCGGCGAGAGTTGTCACGCCGTCTGGGACAGCAGTCCTGATTGGTGCTTTTATTTAACAAACTTTTTATATATTATATGTGAAGGAACATTTTTTTTTTATTTATTTTAGGTACCGACATTTCATTTCGCGCAACTTAGATATCTGCCGCCCAGGACAAACTGGTGATCCCCCTCTCGGCGTCCCTGCGTCCAAGACTCTCCGTTAGGAGGTCCACAATAGACGTTAAATTTTGTCCGTTAATTCACAATTTTATGCAGCTCATCCTCATACTGACTTCATCTTTAACACCTATAAAAATACTGACTTCATTTTTAACACCTATAAAAAATAGAGTCAGGACCTACTTTTTATATACACGTATTTAGGGATTCAACACGTCTGGATACGCTTATTAGGATGATATAAGGTAGTTGCATAAATGTTTGACTCAATCATTACAAAAAATTAAAAAGAATAATGTTTTTGATAATAATAACGTATAAATACGATATAGCAAAAGCATTACTTTTAGGCTCGTTTTAATATGTCGTCAATAACACCCTCGATGTTGCTTGCATTATAACCAGTTGTGTCACCAACATTAGTATCTAAAGAAATATCATTTATCACAAAGTTGTTTGTCATTCCTAAGGCTTTTTTTAGAAATTCAAAAATAAACAATTAAATTTATTAGCTAAGTAAAAAAACGTTGCTTTTGAATTTATTTGCTAAAAAGTCAACAAAGTAAAAGGCATCCACAATAAACAGTTATATTAAAATATTTGTTATCAGTTTTAAAAATTCATACATAAAAAAATTTAATTAAATTGAATAACGACCGAAAATATATTTGCAATCAATGAGTAGAAGAAAATGATCAAAGTTAACTTAAACTACTTACTAGGTATGTCATCTTCTTCATCTAAATGTTATAAAAAGTTTATTCTACAAAGCTTATATTTTAGACAAAGTACTCTTTCATTATCAATAGTTTCAAACTTTTTCGAAACTTATAAATAAAAATAAAACCTTCATTCTTTATGTATGAGTGAGCGACCGAAACAAAAAAATAGCCAAACCCTAATAAAACTGAAATAGTTGGTACTCAAGTTCGATGTCAAAAACAAAACCGACATTTAGGAAAATATTTTACCAAAACCGATACTGACAAAAAAATTTAAAACTTTACAAATTTTTTGGTTTAAAGTATGTCATTCAACCCAAATTTTGCATTTTACCGAATGTTCCGAAAATGAAATATCGGTATCGGCTCAAATCGAAATTTTGGCGCAAACCGATACCGAAACAGAATTTCAGTCGATCACTAATATGTATCATGACCGATAACACAGGTTTTAAAGTGGAGGGTTACATTTGTCAGTAAAAAAAAAAAAAGAAAAAAAAGGCCTTCAAAAAAAAGTGAGAGGGTAAAGTGCCCCCGTGGCGTCGACTCTCTCTCTCTTTATATATATATATATATACATATATATATATATATATATATATATATATATATATATATATATATATATATATATATATATATATATATATATATATATATATATATGTATATATATATATATATATATATATATATATATATATATATATATATATATATATATATATATATATATATATATATATATATATATTATATATATATATATATATATATATATATATATATACATATACTTTATTATTGAACAAACTTTATTTAGTTTTTTTAGTTTATACTGATTAGCCTAACTTAATGAAAGTGTAATTTAAATAGGAACGGTATCAACATGGAGTTCATGGAGTTCATGCTCTGAAACTTGTAACAATATTTATAATCTACCTTTTCAAATCAGAAAGCGATTATGTGTTGGGTATTCTACTTGGGATCCTCGCTACCTAGGTTGTACCGGTATGACAAGAGAAGAAATAATTCCTTGTAATAGAAATGTTGGTTGTCCTGGTAATAAGCATTCTTAAAATTATTTTTTACAAATAAATTTTTTGATTTTAGTGCTTTTTTTTAAACTAAAGTTCTCAATAAAACTTTAAAAAGTTATCAATAGGTATTTTTAGTGAATGGGAATCATGGACTATGTGCTCAAAAACATGCACATCAGATCGAGACGTAGCTCCTATTAAACGTAGAAATCGGCAATGTAAAGGAGATTCGTTAGGAGTTGGTTGTGATGGTCCCAGTTATGAAGTTTTGGCTTGTAATTTTGAGAGATATTGCCCAGGTAGCCAAATTTTGAATAAAACTTTTGCTTTTCTTAAGTGGCCAATAAATGACACTTTCGTCTTTTACTTACGATTATCAAGAATATTTTTCTTTTGTATAAAACAACCTTAAATAGCATCCTATATATACTTTGTTTACTAAAAAAATATTGATATAAATTTAAAATTTAACAACAATTAACAAAATTTTTGTATTTGTTTCATTTTTATTGCCTTGTCAAAATAGCCTTAAGTTTAGTTCATTTGATTATATGTTAATGTCCCAGGTAATTTATTTGATTCAATAACGTGAAGACTCTTCATGTTATTGAATTTAATAAATTACCTGAGAATCTAATAAATTACCTGTTCGTCATTTGGTTAACTGGACCTTAGTAATACACTATATCCTAATAACATAACTATTTTAGTTAGTTCTTTTGGTGCTCGTTTTTGTGAGGTATAAACCTGCTTTGTTTAGCAAAGCTTTTTTTTTTAGAAATTCCACTAAAACAATTTATGAAATGTGACTTAGTAATGTTTATTTGTAATGCTTATTCAAAGTTAATTTGGAATGTTATAAAATGTTAGTTGTTTATTGTTAAGGTGGTACTACCCTACATTTTTTATTTTTCAAAGTATGGTACTTTTCTTAAAATGATAAACATTTATCGATAGTTGTTAAAAAACTGAATATAAAAAATATAATTTTTTTACTTTTTGTCACAAAAAAAGCTGAGTCAGCAAAAAAAAGCAAAAAACAGGCGGTCACAAGAACATGAATAACTTGAGTAATATTTGAGATAAAAACTTTAAATTTTACAAACATATAGCTAAATGGTTCGTGGAGGGCGCCTAGTAGAATTTTTTAAAAATACAGAGCTAAAGTAAAGTGACAGATATTAACCTGTAAATATCATAAAAAATGGTTTGTGGGGTATGTAAAATTTTAAATTCTGGTCAAAATAAAAAGTAGTTTTTGTTTATTCTACTACCAGCCCTTTCTACAACTTCAATGAACAAACTGTGAAAATTTCAAAGAAAAAGAGTTAATAGTTTCTGAGATATCAATGTTCTAGTTTAAAAATATTTTAAAAATATTATTCTAAGAAAAACAGCTTTTAAAATAAAAAATGTCATTAACTAAAAAAATATCTAATTAAAAATTTCCAAACTAGCCACAAAAATATGATAAACCACCTTTAATATTTTGTTCTGTGTTAAAATAACCTTTTTACAACACCAACAGAAAAATTGTGAAAATAGAGCAAACATATAAACAAACATGGTTGCTAATGCCGTTGCTAGGGATTCCAAATTTACCTATGTGCCTTGAAATACTAATTTAAGTACTTTATATTAATTTTTAAAGGCAAAAAAAATTATACTTGTGATCCAAGATGTTCAAACTGTTAAAATTAAAAAAAAAAATATTTTTTGTTTTTTGATGTTTTTTGATGTTGGTAGTACCACCTTAAACGTTTGGATATAAACTCTTTGGTTTTAAAAGTTTATGTTGACCATCATATCTTACAGTATAACTATTATATCATTTTTTAAATGTGTTGTTGTCACTTGCATGTCCTTTACAAGGCATGTCCTTCGACGCAAGATATTTAAGCAGGCATATTTCAAATACGCCTCGCTAAGGTATTTAACATTGCTTGTATTATGCTGCATTAATGCCTTGGTTTCTCAAATAAGTTATGCGATTCCGCAATCTTAACAGTAAATACAAGACTTGGACTGTTATAACATGATAACGTTTCATTTTCAGCAAATTGCACTAGTTAAACAGCTTATAAAGCACAAAGCAAATGTTCGCCAGCCACAAACCTCATAATTCAACCAATTTTTATAGGGTGTTTTTTAAATTTTTTTCTGGAAAAAGAACATAATTAATGTCTATTAAAAACTGTTGGGTATCGTTAACTGCTAAAATTTCCAAATAGAACCCAACCTCACTAGCAAATTTTAGAAAAGCCCCTGCAAAGTACTTATATATATTTTTGCCTTTACTTTTTTATTTTTATTGTGTTGCTATTTGAATTATAACGGTTTCTAGTATTAAATGTGTACGTATTATACATTATACGTATTATATATTTATAATTGGAAAAAAAAAACAAATAAAGGACGTTCTAAAGTCGTTGAATAGAAACTTAAAAATGACAATCAAGTATAATTATACACAATAGGTCTAAAAAAGAAGTCATTTAATTGTTCAAAAAATATTTGTTGTCTAATGAGCGTATAATTGCAATCAGAAATATTTGTAGGGATATAGAGACAAAATTTTAACGTTATATCTTCACAACCTTTTTAACAGAAAGTACAACGAAACTAGCAACCCGTGTGCCTAGTTATACAATTAGAAAAAAATATTAGAAGTATACACAACATTAAAAATTTTCCATATTACAACATAATATATATTATGCGTTATATATATCTAAATATATATACAATACGTAATATATATTTAGATACATTTAAATATTCAAAAGAGATTAAAAATTTAAAAAGATTTAAAGCATTTTCAAGATTTAAATTCATCTATTTGTATTTTTTATACAAAATTAAAACAGACTAACGAAAACAACAAGAAAGATGTATCATAAAATAAAATTCTTCTTTTAAAACAATAATAAAAAAGTGTATATTTTGTTTATATTTAGTATATGTTTTTTATAGTTCTTTTAATATATTAATAGATTTTATTTTTTTCATTTTTTCGCCAAGAACAGAATTCCACATTGTGGTTCCCTACATGTGTTTGAGAAATCAAATTTTTTAAGTGATGTTAGTGGAATGTTGTCAATACTTATTGAGTGTCTTATTTTATATTTGTGATTAATCAGAGAAAAATTTTATAAGAGTAATTTGGAATTATTTTATTTTGAAGTTTAAACATTAATTACAAGTTATGGTAGATATTCAGTTCATAAACGTTTAAAGCCTTTATTTACTTGAGTAACGGCTAAGCACTTTTGTACCTACTTGCGCCCAAAACTAACTAAATATCTTGCTTTTGTTTTCAATAAATATTTTTTTAGAAAAAATTTTAATGCTTGTTTGCCAATCCAAACAAGCATTAAAATTTTTAAATATATTTCGTTCAAAATATAATTTGTCTTCTACATAATCTCCAGAGTCTTTGAAACTTTATTCTCGACTAACTTTATTTGGCTTTTCCAATTTGAATGTTTATCAAAAATTATTCCAAGTATTTTCATTAAAAAAATCTCTTTTTATTTTAATATTGTTACTTGTTAATTCTAGTAGTTTAAGTAAGCGTTTTTCAGATTTTTGATAGTTTACCAAACAAATTATATTTCGTATACAATAAAGGTTTATTTGCTATTAACCACTTATTAAGATATTTTAGTTCTGTATTTGCATAATGAAAAATATTTTTTTTATTAACTAAAAATTTAAAAAAGATTCAATCCAGTTAGCTTTCACATGAGCGAAGGCTAACTGTGAACTATTATTATAATGTAAGTAAGAAACTATATATATATAAAAAGTAAGAAACTATATATATAAAAAAAAGACAACTTAATATTAAATAAAATTACTAATTGAAAATTGTTTTTGTACAACAATTATATACAGGTAACTAAGCCTTTAAATCAAAAAAATAAATAAATAAGAACCTTTTTTTCCAAAGATGTCAAAATGGTCACTTTGTGGTGCGTCAACTTCAAAAAAAACCGCCTGTGGAATGATAACAAAATTTTTACAGGTTGTTTATAGTATAATTTTACAGGTATGGAAGCAGAAATAGCCAATGTTAGATAAATAAAATTTAAATACCAAGCTTATAAAAAGGTTTTAAAATAAAACATTTGGCTCGGGTAATTCTGGACCGAAATTTTTTTTTAATGTTGGTTGTAAACCTGTATTTTATAAAAAGTAACCACAATAACAAATTTCAAGCTTAAAGCTCAAATCAGTCAAAAGTTATATGACGCACCATCCAAAAATTTTATTTTTGAGATAAATGCAATTTAAGTAGTAATAAACTAAATATCACTAAATTCCTTTTAAAGATTCTCTAAATTATCACTAAATTCACTTAAATATCACTAAATTTCTTCTAAAGAAAAAAAAAAGTTTCCATGATCGATTATCATAAAAATAAAAATAATTAAATACTTAATATACACCATAACCATACTGCATTTTTCCTTTTGATTGATTATTTTTTATGAAACTTTTACGAACTCCTTGAACACAATTTCCTTCTTACTTTACGATTTCCTTCCCATTGACATTGCTCTTCGGTTGTTATTTGAAACACAGAACTCGTTTACATAAAATCCTTGAAACAATACCTTAGCCCTCAAAACCTCTAAAATTCCAATCATTAAAATTTATAACTGTAGAAGCTACACCTAACCCAACAGTGGTTTTACAAACAGAGATATCTTTTGGACAACATTTCCAAATTATTTTATTTAGTGACTCAAGCGTATTTTGAATTTTGCCAAAGATATTTTTTAAAAAGTTGTCATCACTTAAACAGACTTTATTTCTTTACACCTGCTTAAAAAACAGGCTTAAATATATAAATAACAAAAAAATAATTTAAGCCTGTTTAAAAATCAGGCTTTATTTATTTAAGGGTAGCAATTGGTATTTCTCCTATATTTTTATACATTGCTCTACCATCAATTTTGTCAGCCTGATATTGACACTAATTATCATAAATACATGGGCACATTAAGTGCCTTGTTTTAATATCTTTTACTTCAGATCAATGGAAAATTACTGTTTTAATACCTTTTTACAATTGTTAAATAATAGAATCTGTTGATTGTTGAACTGCAACCCCATAATAGTTGTGTAATTTATTTATAACTTTCTCAGTAATACAACCTGCATCTTCTAATATTTTTTCTGTCAAATAATTTCTCTTTATTTGTTGCTTTGAGTTTCCGTAACCGCTCTCCAACTCTCTTATGGATATGTCCCACACATTCTAATTTCTCAACAACTATGCTATTATATGATCTGTACAATAACATTGGTATATGATTCCATCCCCTATGTATTTTGTATATCGGAGCTTACGATAAGCTTTTGAAGCAACAAAACAATTTACTAAAGCAGCAGTTTCCATAAAACTAGCTGAACCAGTATAATTTATGTAATATTCATGAGTTGCAGTATACTCTTCATATTCATTAAATTCTATTTTGCTTCCAAAGATTGACACGACTTACAGAATTTAGATTGTACGCGATTGTCTAAAAACATTCACAAGTGTATTACTTACTATAACCGTTACAACACCATTTAATAATGTATAACCTTTTTTTGCCATGACATGATACAGTCACATGATACAGTCACATTTGAAATGCCCTGTCAGTTGCAAATGTGAATTCTCTCAATTCGATAGAGACATTCCTCATTGAACATGTTGCAACATCAAAATACGACTTACATGTATTTTTCTGTAATTCATTAACCACTGTAACATTCATTAGAGGTGGCATGTTCAAATATCGTTAGAGTTTTTCTTAACCAATATGATATTTTCCAATTTTCCTCATAGCAATAACAGAACGCACATTAACCTCAAACAGTGGTCTAATACAATTGCTTCTGCGTTCTCATTATTTACTAGAATGAAAGGTTGTACACCAACTACAACTTAAACATTGTAACACTAATGATATAGAAAAACCGTGCTTCCTCAAGACGTAAAATGCTAGAAAAATAAAAGTTTGTTTTGACACAATCAGGCCGCAACTAAATTAATAATTTGAATAAAAATATCAGTAAAAAAAAGTAAAAAAATGGATAATATACAATTGAGTTGGAAGAACTTACACAGGCTAACTAACTGGTGTCATCAGTAAAAAAAGGGGATGCAAAGTTTATTTTTCTGAATAAGAAAAATAGTCGGATTATAAGAAGAAATCTCAGCTGATTTTTCTTGTTTTTTGGTTTGTTGGTTATCTTTGAATGTCCATTTAGAAAATGCCTTTGAGTGGTTAGACTCTTTCTGTAACATAGCTCTACTCTTTTTTTATTATTCATTTTTATTACAACTTTAAAGAAAAAAGAAAAAAGTAATAAAGAAAAGGTATAATTAGACTGTTTTTTTTTTTTTTAATAGTTGTTGTTTATTAATAATGAATATTATAACTAACACACAAAAATCAATTAGGTTAACTCCCAGTGGGCACAAGAATGTTTTGCGAACGTTTTTTAATGGTCCCGTAAAAGCGTTTTTTAATGGTTTTTTAAACGTCCATATGAAACGGTGAGCGGACGTTTTCTTAAAAACGGTTTGTGAACGTATTTTAATTGACCTATAAAAACGTTTATTATGGTTTTTTGAACGTCCATATGAAGCGGTGAACGGACGTTTTTCTGAAAACGTTATTTATTGGTTTTTATTAGGTCTAAATGAAACGTTTTATTGTTTTTAACAACGTTTTTTTAAGAATCAGTTATTTAAGTAAAAAACTTATGTTGTACAGAAAATAAACCTTTTCACAAATAAAAACTTAGGTCTAACAGTCTAGATCCGGATAAATAATTAAAAGTTTTAACATTTTGTGTTTATTTACAATTTAAGCATACAAAAACATAATAGTTTTATTTTGCTATTCTATTAAGATATTTATTCTATTATTCTCTTCAAACAATCGCCTTTCAACTTATTGACCAAATCGAATTTTGCTGTATGTGACACTAATGTTCCTAAAAAAGAAAAATACCACAGAAATATTTCAAGCATTTCACTAGCATGTATAAAAAGTGCATCAGAATGTAAATTGTAATAATAAGAAATGTGAAATGAAAAACATCACACAGTATATTAAAGGACCAATATAAAAATTTAAAAAGTACCTATAATTACTCTACTCAATAAAGTTTTTTTAAAATGTTCTACTTCCATAAGTTCCAGCTTTCTTAAACCATGGTAGAACACATTTTTGACATTATTTTATCCAAAACATTATTATTAGAGCTGAAAAAGACCTTAAAAGATCATAGAATATATTTAGTTTAATAACATTTTACTTTATTTAGGAAAACTTTATACATAAATGTAAACAAGAATATAACAACAAATAAAACTTTGCTTTATTATTTAAAATTATTTTACTTTTATCAAACCTTGTTTTATCATTTATTTTATCATAATAAAATTATGAATCTTCAAATTCAGACTTTTCCCCCAAGATATCCACTGCAGATAAAGACTTTTGAAGACTTTAGGCATTGTAGTTCTATAGTTTTTGCAGATTCAAAACCTAATAGAAAAAAAAGTTCGAACTAAGTAAAATATTTATAAAAAACTGTTGTGAAAAACTGAACATTAAATTAAGTACAATAAACATCTTTTAAAAAAGAAAAAGACAACATTTAATAACATACTTGTTCTACTAATAGACTTAAAACTTGATGGCAGTTTATCATAACAATAAAGTGCAGCAATGCATCGCTTAACATATAGTCGCTTTCTTAATTTTTTTTATAAAAGATAATTGTTACTACTGAGTAAAGTCTTTCAGTTAGGCTAAAAAAAAATCATCGCTCAATATTATACTCAAAAGTTACTTCTACTTAAAGTTCTACTTGTATTAATAATGTAGAGCATTTACTAACTGGACTAGAAATAATCTAGATAGAAATAGCTTTATACATTTATTTAAAGTATTATTTATGAAATGATTGTAACATAAACTTACTTCGTGTTAGGTTGTGATCATTTCATTGTAACTTTATTTGCATCTTTGTTACTCATAATTGAGAATGATAGTTTAAATTGAGTTTTAATTTGCATTGTTGAATTAACACTGAAAACAAAATATTAGTAGGTAAAACAAAATATTTCTTTATTGAAATATATGTAAATATTTATTTACATTTACATTAATTTAAATATTTAATTTTATAAAATTTCAGTTACTCCATCGTATTTATAAGAAAAAGCTTTAAATAAAAAAAAGTTAGAAAAAAAAAAAAAAAAGGAGAAATTTTTGAATATATAAAAAATGAGAATAAAAAAGTTTTACATATCTTATAAAGGCATACCTTTCACTACACCATATAAATTAGTGCTCTTAAAGCATATTTCCAACATTTTCCTTTCATATTCATGGAGGTCACAAAATTGTTTAAAAATATTCTAAATTTTGATAGATAAGAGAACTAATATTAATTATGTGAGAACTAATATTATTATTTTTTTTTTTAATATTTAAATTGAACTCATTATCAAACAATATTTTTGCTGAATAATTTATTTCTTAAAATTCCTGAATAATTAAAAAGTATTTTGATTACCTCAGCATTAATTTGCAAATTCTGTCTGTAAAGATATTCAATCAATTGCAATTGATTTACAAAAAAAAAAAAACATGTAAAGCTAATATTATTGTTTGAAGTTTTAATTATTATTATACAAATACTCATCATATTTTTTAAGTGACTGATAAAAATAAGATTTAATTAAAATCACTTCATTTGTTCTGCTAAAATTTAATAACTTCAGTCCAGGTCTACCCTACATCATTGCTTTGAATTAATAAAAAAAAATAGAAAAACAGAATAAAAGCAATTTATAACAAGGAAATGCACTGATTTACCCACTAAAAAATTGATTGAAAAATTTCATAAAAATAAAATAAAATGTACCAAAAAACAAACAAAAAACAAGTTTTTTATTTTATTATTAAACTCATTTTCCAATAGATATCATTTAAGTAATAATAAAAATTTAAACAAAAAAATGTTATTTGTTTTTATATTCTCTTCGTAATGACATAAAATTGATCCTATATTAGAAAAGGTAATACATGCTTTAATACACACCTTGGAGAAGGAAAGCTTGGATATAAAACTTTCGATTTCATCATTCAAAGAGTTAATAAACCTTTTATGGGTTTATTAACTTTTTGAATATTCAAATCAGTCCTGATCTGAATAACAAGTTGGCATGTGGTTGTAAAAAATTGCATAATCTCACTTACATTGTATTACAATCATATTAATGAAATGAAACTGTGTGCATTTGGTGCATTGTTTCCTTTTTTCTTATCCTCATTGTATACTGAACTTTTGAAATTTTTATTTTATGAATTGAACTAAAAACTCAAAACTAAAAAAAAACCTTCAACTTTCATTATAAAAAAAAATGTCAAACTTAAAAATTTCAAAAATAAATTTTGTTAACGATTTTTCCAATAATATTTTCTCAACAAAATAATGCTTTAGTAAATAAATTTATGAAATAATGACCTAAATCTTCAAAAACGAAAGAACAAATCTCCTATTGAACAGAATTTTTTCTGGGTAAACTTGTCTTCTAAATTTTCAAATAAAAGTTAAAGCTAAAAGTAAATAAATATAAATTTTACCTATAAATATCTATATAAAGGACAAAATATATTTATATGATACAGCAAAAAAATAAAATCTTTTCTCTTGTATGTATGTATGTCGGAATTAGGAGAAACGAGGTCAAAACTCTTAGAGGTCGGTATTAGTTTGGCAAAAAAACATATGACATAATAGAGTTATCATAAAACAGAAACTAGGTCAGTAATTTTTTGAAGACTTTAAAGCCTTTTAGGTCGGCATTAAGTTTGGCATGCCGAATGCCGACCCTAATCCCAAGGGTAGAATTTTTACTACAAAATAATAATGGTATTTTACAGGTTCCAATATCAAAGATCTAGATGAAGTATCAATGCACCATATGTCTAGCAGTTCATAAATCTTATCTAGAGGTGTATATATACATATATATATATATATATATATATATATATATATATATATATATATATATATATATATATATATATAATATATATATATATATATATATATATATCGAAATGAAATAGTTATAAAAAATCTTATTTTTAGCTTATTATTTAGATTTAAAAAAATAATTAATAAATAGATGTTATACTTGAAAAGAACTTAATTTTTATAAGAGAAAACTTTAGCCAATGCTTACAAAGATTTTTACGACACTTAATTGCATTAAAAACTTTGGTGCCTCATTGCTCTTTTTCACATATTTATTTTTCGTTATATCTTATAATAATTTTAACAAATAATAAAAAAAGAAAATCATAATATGAAAACTATTTGAAAACATTATATTATAGTACATTATAATATATATATATATATATATATATATATATATATATATATATATTATATATATATATATATATACAAGTACTTTAAAACAAATTATATAAAATAGAGTGCTCAAATTTTTTAAAAGAACAGAGCAATGTTAAAATAGCAGAAAAATCACTATTTGAACTTTTTTCATCGATTAAAACTCATAAGAAATCTTATATACAGTGTCATGGCTACTAAATCCGAGTTTGTACCTCATAAACTTTTTAAAGGAGCCCCATAATTTTGAAAAATATATTCAAAAGTTATTATTTAAAAAAAAAAAAATAAACCTCCTTACATTTAAAAAAACAAATTTGCTGAACCCCCCCCCCCTCCCTTCGCCAGTGTGGGGAAGCCAAGCTGCTGAAGGGAGGATTTTTTTTGCAACTTCAAACAATTATCACCTTTATTAGCTAAAACAAAACACTCTAAACCTTGATAATTTTTAAATTGTAAACAGTGTCTCAATACAATGGTTACAGATCCTTCAAAGTGAAGAATATTAAATTTCTGTTTATCTTCTTGTACATGTTTATTTTAGCAACCCTGTCTTCTTTAATCAACCTTTTTTAGTTAACCTAAACAATTTTTGTTTTTGAATGAGGGACATCTATCATATACTTTAAATTTAACTTCATCATCTTCTATATGTATTAAAGAATGGACATAGTAAACTAGTTGATCCTTATCATAAAGTTAACCAAATAACTGAACAAACTAAGTAGTGACTAACAAGCCAAATGAATATATATTTCAAAAATTAAGAAAATAGAACGGCAACTAAAAGATTTAAAACTTATGATTAGATTTATCGCTCAATCAACCCATTTAAAACAATCGGCCCATTGCATATTAGAAAAAGTTAAAGTTCCGTCGTTTTCCATTTTTTATTATCTAAAAAAAGATTTTGGTTATCTTGAAAATTTTCTTGCAATGTAACAACATATCTAAAACAAACAGTCAGATTAAGTATAGGCTGTAATCTCAGACAATTGATAATATTTGGACCATTTAACCATAAGTTTATGAACCTTTACTATACCCCTAAGCATACTAGATGTATCAAGTCTAATAGAAACTTCGTCACCATGTCTAAATTTAATTCAATTATCTTATATAAATATTATTTACCTAATATTACTACTTCTCTTCTTCTTTACTTATTATTACTTACCTTATTATCATCAAATTATTTAAATAGCATATATTATTTATATTATACTATGTCTAAAGCTACTAGAGGTATTAATATATCTAAATTTATTTTCTAAATCAAGTTAATAATATTCTAACTTTATCTAGCTGTAATACTTATTCTCCTGTGTAAAGTATTTAATTGTCTTATATCTTACTATCATTTCTTTATAACTGATCATTCCTCAATATTTAAAATAGCAACCATTTCTAGATAAACATTTCTTAGTTTTAATCTCTCAGTTTTTTTATAAATATATAGTAGATATCTTTATTTAATTATTTTTTCTCTATACTTTGTTTAAGCATAATAAGTCATGTTAATAAGAAATCTTTGTAAGTTCTGCAATAAAACAGTAGTCGATAGCCATAAAGGAATTCTATGTAATTACTGCTCTTCTTGGTTGCACCCTAAATGTAATTATATTAACAAACATACTTATAGCCTTATTGAAAAAGATTCTACTGACTGGTATTGCAGTGACTGCATCAACAAAAATTTGCCATTTTGTTCACTTTTTGATTTTGAGCTCTATTTAACTTTATCGTCTCAGACTATACTAACCAATATTTTAAAATCTCTAAAATCTCCCCCTCACTTCAAAAAATTATTCTATAATATAAACAAAATCTCCAACAAAAGTATTAACTGTAAATATTATGACATTCTTGAACTTAATAAAGTTTTTAATAATAATTGTAATTTATACCTAAATCTAAACATTGCTTCGCTCCCTTATCACATTGACAGTCTTCACAGTCTAATAAGCTCTCTTACCACTCTTCCAATAGTAATTGCAAATACAAATTACAAATAACAATAATGTAAATGAATCATTGCACTATTTTTTTAAAACTTTTAACAAAGTTCTTGATCAACATGCACCCTTTAAAAAACTAACTGCTAAACAAATTAAACTTAAATCAAAACCTTGGATCACCAATGGAATTCTAAAATCAATATCTATTAAAAACAAACTATATAAACAATATATAAAAGCAAAAAATCATAACATTAAAACTCATATGTTTAATAAATTTAAATGGTACAGAAATAACATTTGTAATTTACTAAAACTTTCTAAATTATCGTATTGCATCAACTTTTTCAACAATAATCTTTACAATGTAAAAAATTCTTGGAAAGGTATAAAAGAAATTATTAATATCAAACCTTCTTCCTTTTCCAGTAAATCTATTAATCTCAAATTTAATGGCAATACAATTTCAGACAGCAAAGCTGTATCAAACATATTTAATAATTACTTTGTAAATACTCAACAAACACTGTTAACAAAAATTGTTTCACATAAATGTAATTTTTCAGACTATTTAAATAACCCAAATATTAACTTCTTTTTTATAGATCCAGTCACTGAAAATGAAGTATCAAATCTTATAAAAAGTTTACAAAGTAAAAAAAGTTTAGGTATCAATAGAATTCCCACGTTTCTTCTCAAACTTGTTTCCCATATCATCTCAAAGCCTTTCTGTACAATGATAAACAGCTCTTTTAAAAATGGACTTTTTCCAGATGTCTTTAAAATAGCTAAAGGTATTCCACTTTGTAAAAAAGTCTCTAGAACTGACCACGCTAACTATCGCCCAATTTCGCTACTGTCAAACATCAGTAAAATATTTGAAAAAGCTATGCACAACAGACTTTACAACTTTTTAGATAAATATCAATGTCTTTACAAACACCAATATGGGTTTCGAAGCAAGCATTCTAC